TCATAATTATTTCATATACCCTTTTATAATGATACCTAAGTCTCAATAGAATATCTAGGCTTATATCTAAATGTAATCAGTCTACTGTAAATACTTGAAAGGGAAATCCTATCATAACCCTTTTTCCAGGTTTCTGATGAAGGGGGAAGAGCTTTATCTATATAATTATGATCTGTGATCTATTCTATGATCTGTGATCATAATACTTCAGTAAATATGGACAATGTATATGATACGGCACGCTAAGCAATGGGGGATATACGTGAGTTAAAAATGTCTTTGAGCAGTTGAATATTTTCCAAAAGTCGAAGGATTCTGTTTTAGACATTTAAGGAGGTAAAATGAGTTACACAATAAATGTATGTTAAAGAAAATACTTTTGTTAAAACAGCCTAAACTTTTGAGACACACAATCCCTTGTGAATAGTTAACCAGGTAGAGACTCATTTTCTGAAGTAGGCTCAATGAGGTTTATGTGCCCATGAAAACGAATTATTACATAGTGATCCTTTTGTGGTGATGTTGTGGAAGGTGGGATTTTGTTTCACTGTACTGTGGTGTGTAATCTGGATGCGTATGCATTTCAGATGAGGTTTGAACTTTGTATCTTTCAGTTCCTCCCGTCATTAGCCCTCACCCGAAGGAACATGTGGTTGCTGTGGACAAGCCCCTCGTGCTGCCGTGCCAGGCGGACGGCCTGCCCTCGCCCGATGTCACCTGGCAGAAGGACGGGCGTGCGGTGGTGGACTCGGTCCGCCAGCGCGTGCTGAGCTCGGGCTCTCTGCAGATCGCCTTCGCCCAGCCCCAGGACGCCGGGCAGTACACGTGCACGGCGGCCAATGTGGCGGGGTCCAGCAGCGCCAGCACCAAGCTCACTGTCCACGGTAGGATGTTTAACCCGACTTATTTCAGTGTGCCACTTGACCACAGCGAGGGGAGAAGACATATGGTATAAATATGATGGAAATCAAAACCACACAAACGCAGCGATGCCCAGTGTGTGCCTGTGTGCAGCTGCAGGCGGCCTCAGATCCGCTCTCTGCAGGCTGTTTGTGTGTGTGTGCACAGACGCTGTGAGAGAGCAAGATCTTATTAACATGGCCAGGGTAATTAACGTGCTGCCAATCACCCCCTTAGACTGTGATTACTAGACTCTGTGTTTGGCCTACGAGGAATCCGTTGTATTTTGTGACTCCTTGCTTTACTTCTCGGGCTTCAAGCCATCTTGGCTCAAGCCTAATCACAACAGGACTGTATTATATAGTTTAAGCCTAATGGGAGTTGGAGGTCTATTTGAGTTATTATTTTCAAGTAGCAAAGTATGCGGTATTTCTTTGTTATTTTATAACAAAAAAATTGGGGCTTGTATTAACAAAACTGACAAAATATCTAAATATCGAATCCTCTAAAAATGTTTTAGTTCTAAATATAGAATCCCTGTTAAGATCAGTGGTAGGAAACAGTAACAAATTAAACTACTTCAAATCCTATTTTTAGAGGTAACTCTTATTATAATGAGGAGTTTCTGCTTTTTATTTTATTTTATTTTATTTCATAGACAGAGTCTCACTACGTTGCCCTTGGTAGAGTGCTGTGGCGTCACAGCTCACAGCAACCTCAAACTCTTGGGCTTCAGTGATTCTCTGCCTCAGCCTCTGGAGTAGCTGGGACTACAGGCACCCGCCACAACGCCCAGCTAAGAGTTTCTGCTTTTTAATTTTTTCAAAAACTTGTGACAACTTTTTATTTTCCAAGTGTTTCTAAATTTCACTACAGCTTCACACTTATAGTGACAATTTCAAGTGGAACCATTTTTGATTGAATAAATAAATAATTTAGCCAAAAATAAAAATCGCCATTTCTGAGTTTTTCAAATAACTCCTCTGCTTTCACTTAATATAATTCAACAAATCAATATACATTAGCCCTTTACCTTCAAATGAATAATACTCTTTCTTTTAAAATATTTATAGAAAATTTACCAAAAAAAAAGAATATTTACCAAAATTGGCCATATACAAAGGAACAAGGAAATATTAATAAATTAAAAAATAATGGACCATAATTCCTGCCCAATAAAGTGCAATAAAGCTAGAAATTTGTCACAAACTTTTGATACCCCAAACCCAGGCAACTTAAAAATACTCTTCTAGCTAACAAGTGAAAGCATATGCTTTTATTTTTAGAGTAGGTAGAAAATAATAGAAATCATAATGTATAATATGATTTCATAATATGATTTCATAATAATATCATAATGTACAGTATGTGACAAAAGTTAAAATCAACTGTGAAGTCATAGCCATAGTTCTTTTCATTTTGAAAAAGAAAGAACTGAAGTAAATATGCTAATACTGCAATCCTGTAACCCCTAGGAAAAGAGAAGTTGCAACCCTACGGGAACCAGGATAAAGGAGATAATGAAAAATACAGCATAAATTAATGAAAATGAATTGAATATTTATGATGCACCATTCAGCAACAGATATTTTTGTACTTTCTAAATTATCTATTGTGTTTATGCTTATAATAATGCATATGTTTATATATTTCCTCATATAATCATAAAGGATAAAATCTTAATTTAACATAACTGAAGGCAAATTTAACTACAAATCTAATCTAACTGAAGGCAGTTGTTTAAAGTTTATACAGCAGCTTTACTTTTGCTAAGACCAGATGTGGTCCTCTATCTTTTTTTAAGAATGTCATTGATTGGTCCTTTTCTCACTGATGTGTTTGAATCATTCCCAAATTCATTGATGTGGGAGGGCCGTGTATTTGTATTTTTTTCTGAGCCAAAAATTCTTAATACTTTTCAAGTCTTTCCTTTAGAAGTAAATTCCGAGTCCACTAGGATATCTTTTAGTACACTAAGGTACTTAGTTTATCTCTAAATTGCCTAAATTCCTGTTTAAAAAAAAGTTGAGTCAAAGGAGGTATTTAGAATTACAATGTACAAAATTATGAAATCACTGTAAACATTTCCTCTGTTACAGCATAAAAGCTGAATTAAATGTCTTGATCTAGGGCAGCACCTGTGGCTTAGTGAGTAGGGCACTGGCACCATATACCAAGGGTGGCGAGTTCAAACCCAGCCCTGGCTGAACTGCAAAAAAAAATAGCCGGGTGTTGTGGCAGGTGCCTGTAGTCCCACCTACCTGGGAGGCAGAGGCAAGAGAATCATCTAAGCCCAAGAGCTGGAGGTTGCTGTGAGCTGTGACGCCATGGCACTCTACCAAGGGTGAGAGTGAGACTCTGTCTCTAAAAAAAAAGTAGTCTTAATCTGATTTACTTACATTCGTTGTAACACGTGAAATACTGCGATAAATTTTTTTACACAGCATTTTGTTATATTCAATATTGGCTGAGTGTTTTATAGTGACTAGCAGTTATACAACCATAGGAGCATTTTTGGTCTTTGTTGTCATTTTTATCTTTTACTTCGCTGCAACAAGTCAAAGAAACTGAAGCATGGAAGAGCCAAATGAAATGTAGATTTTTAACGTAGTTCTAAGCCATTTACTCAGAAACAGAATATAAATATATTCAGTAAGTTCAAATATGTGAGAATTCTTGCTAGCATCAAAAACATCAATTGCTTTCATAACCACAACCAAATCAATATTTTAGTAGGTTTTTTTGGTTATTTCTATCCAAATTGCCCTTAAAAGAGTCCTTTGTGTGTTAATTTTCAACATGTATGAATACATTGTTAAACTTGGCTTCCTGACTGACCATCTTCTTTAAACTTTTCGTAGTACCACCCAGGATCCGAAATACAGAAGTACAGTACACAGTCAATGAGAACTCACAAGCCATTCTTCCGTGCGTGGCAGATGGAATCCCCATACCCACGATTAGCTGGAAAAAAGATAATGTTCTTTTAGCTAACTTGTTAGGAAAATACAGCGCTGAACCATACGGAGAGCTCGTTTTGGAAAATGTTGAGGTACGTTTAATGGGCACAAACAGATGCAGGAAGCCAGACGAGGAATTTGCCTTCTTACTTTTTGTAATTTAGCGTGGAAAAATATTCTTTAAAAATGAAGGAAAATGTTCTTACAAATGCAGGTCACAAAATGAATTTTACGCATGTTTCATTTTGTGGTCTTTGAATGAGAATAGCATTTAACAGTTAGTAGGAACTTATAAATGCCCTCCCTCTAAAATTGTTATTAAGGTTTTGTGGAAATCGGTGTTTATCAGGCGAAATTCCAAGCGTCTGTGTTGTATTCTGTGCTTGCAAACACGCGTGGGAATGATAAGGAGAGAGAAGATGCAAGACTGGGTATTATTAAGCGAATAGGAAAAGTGGTGTTTTGCTCTTTGCAGGTTTTTGAATGACCCCTTCCGTTCACTGACATGACAGCTAAAGTCTTAGGGGTCTGTGCAGACTGAGGCTTTTGGATGTTATTAGGTGATACCTTTCCAAATTTTCAGAGTCCCAGCTATCAGGAGCATTTTAGTTTTTCCCTGGTAACCCTCTTGAAGAACAATCTACATATTAACATATATACATCACATGACTTTTTAAAAAGTTATGTGGTTCAATGGTATCAACACTTCACACCAAATATCAGACACACTGAAAATTTGAATTATTCAAAGCATCTGTGCATATCTTGTTCCTTTTCATAAGCCTTCAAAATCCCTAAGTTTCATTGCAGAATTGTGTAGGATTAAATTTGAACAAATTACAATGACAAAATTGATCATATTTACTTTATCATTTAATCTCAGCCAACTATCCAAAATCCTAGGATTTCCAGCTAAATAGCTTAGTGACTAGGCTATGTCATTAGGCCCAAACTCAATTACGTGTGCCAACAAAATGTGTACTTAGTCAAATCTGGGTTTCAGTCAATTGTAAGAGATGCACCAGGATTTTATGTACCACTAAGAAAGGAGCAATTCAATCAAAAAAACTGTAACAGATTGTCAATGTTTAAAGTGTATCCCAGTCTCAGATTTTAAAAGTTAAAAAACATGAATTTTAGGGGTGGCACCTGTGGCTCAAAGGAGTAGGGCACTGACCCTCATATGCTAGAGGTGGCGGGTTCAAACCCAGCCCCCGCCAAAAACTGCAAACAAACAAACAAACAACAACAACAAAAACCATGAATTTTAGGATTGATAGGAATAAATCTTTCATGTATAAACGGCTAAATACTTCTAGAGGGCATTATCCCCATGGAGAGGAATGTTGGATTTGACCCCTTGATCACTCTTCTAGACCTTAAGGAATTAAATGAGAGGAAGAAAATGGTTAGAGTTTGAATGGAACGATGACTCAAATATATTAAAACAATACCAACAGTAAGATAGCTTATAAATACTAGAGGAGAGACATAAATAATACAGAGAAGTCTGTTTGTGAATAATATGTATTCCAAACTTTTAAATGCCTCATTTCCATAAAAACCTGATTTTAAACTAAATGTATCACAACCTGGGAATTTAAGAATAATTAAGTTGTATGGGGCAGGGGAAGACCTTCTCAGGCAATACAATTTATTTTTGTTTAAAAAAAATGATAGTATGCATCAAAATTATATTTATAATGAGTGATTATAATCTTTATATTTCCAATTATTTGGTGATTCAATGGAAAAGATTCTTAAATGTTTAAAAAAGAGAAAAAAAATTGTAATTTATCCCTTACTACATCCAGAGGCGTTCAGTCATTTATTTCAACGGATATTTACCCAGCACTTTCTCCATGACCAGCACTGGTTTGGACACTGGGGGTACAACAGGGAATAAAAGAATCAAAGATCCTTGCCCTCATGGAGTTCATTTCTAGAGCAATCAGATGATAAAAACTACAAATAACAAGCAATGTATACATTAAGTCAGAAGGAAAAGGTATGAAAAATAAGAGTGGTAAAGGGTATCAGGAATTGGAGCAGTGCAGGGTGTAGTTTTAAATAAGATGGTTGGCATAAGGGCCCCCTGGGAAGGTGACATTTGACTAAAACGTAAAGGAAATGAGTTAGCCAAGGAAATATCTGAATGGGAAACACACCAGGCAGAGAAAATAGGTAAAGCAAAGAAATTAAGGTGGGCAACAACATTCAGAAACATCTAAAAAAAAATTAATGTGGGAACATTAATGTATCTGAGAAACAGGAGGCTGGTGAAAGCAAAGAAAGAGATTGAAAAGAGAACAAAGGGAAGTCCAAGAAAAATGGAGGCTGGATCACGCAGGGTCTTGGAATGATTTTGCAGAGAAGCGGTACAAAGATGGAGGATTTTTCATGCCCTTAGAAGCTAGCATTTGCTGACAGATTGCAAATAGGGTATGAGAAAGAAAAACATAAAAGGAGACTCAAATGTCTGAGACCAAAGGTATGAACAGCTGAAAGGGTGAAATCCCCATCAGCTGAACTGGTAAAAGGCTACAGATGGCACCAGAAAGGACAAGGAGAAATTGGGAGTTCAATTTGGAGCATGAGTTTGAGATATCCAAGGAGAGGATTAAAATGAACAGCTCAAAATAATTCCCTTTTGGAAAGAAGTATGGAGAATACTCAGGGATCTAAAAGTAGACCTGCCATTTGAGCCTCCAGTTCCGAAGTATGGAGAATACTCAAGGATCTAAAAGAGACCTGCCATTTGATCCTCAAATTCCTCTACTAACAGACCAATTTCTCTATCCAAAAGACCCCAAAATCACTTTATAACAAAGATGTTTGCACCAGATTGTCCATTGCAGCTCGATTCATAATAGCCAAGTCATGAAAGAAGCCCAAGTGCCCACTGACCCATGAATGGATTAATAAATTGTGGTATATGTATATCTTGGAATATTATGCAGCCTTAGAAAAGATGGGAGACTTTACCTCTTTCATGCTTACATGGATAGAGCTGGAATATATCCTTCTTAGTAAAGTATCTCAAGAATGGAAGAAAGAATGTTCAATGTACTCAGTACTAGTATGAAACCAATTTACAATCACTCACACTTTCATATGAAGAATAGATCACAACTATGGTCCAAGTTGAAAGAGGGAGGAAAGGAGGATAGTAGGGGATGGGGGAGGTGAGATCAAGGGAGGGTGAATGGTGGGATCACACCTATGGTGCATAGTGCAAGGGTACATGTCGGATCTATTAGTATAGATTATAAATGTCTTAACACAATAAGTAAACAAGATGAGGTATATATTAACCAGTGTGATCTAAGCGTTCCTAATTCTATATGAAATCAGCACACTGTACCCCATAACTGCATTAATGTATACATGATCTGTGTGTTTATGATTTAATAAAAAAATTAATAGGAGGTTGTAAGAACAATCTGGGCTGGAGATGCTGGTAGTCGTCAGCATATAGATAATATTTAAAGCCTTAACACTGAGTGAGATCACCAAGGAATTGAGTATAGATAGAGAAGAAAAGTGGACCACAGGCTGAACCCTCCTCTCACATGCCAACATTAAGATGTGAATGTTGAGGAAAGCCAGGAAAAGAAGATGAAGAAGGAGCAGCCGGTATGCTTGGAAGGAAACTACGAGAGTGTGGTGTCCTGGAAGCCAAGTGATGACAGGGTGTCAGAGAGAAGGCAGTCATAATCGTGTCACATGGTGCCAGTGCATCAAGTAAGATGAGTGATGAGAGTTGGTCACTGGATCTGGCAAGTGCAACTTTAGAATCGCAGGTGCTGTTACCCTCCTCTCTCCATTCCCTATGATAGGTTTGGTGGTGGTGGTCTTTGGTATCGCATTACCGCAGCCCAGCCATGCTGTCAAGATGCTATCAGCCCTTGGGAATATTAGTTCTTTTCTTGTGCATTGCAAAGCATCAGTCCGGTTGAGGTACTGCTTCAGAATCTAAAGTTTTCTGAAATCTTACTACCCTAAAATAATTACCCTAGTTCTGTAAGGGATGGGCTTCTGTTTAAACTCCTATTCATCTTCAGTTATGTCATGTAAAAGCTAACCTGATGGTTTAGACTAACAGATGGAATTTTAAATTTTGTTTAGACAGGAGTGTCCCTGTGAGGACCTAGCTACAATTTAGTGTATTTCACTTAATGTGATATAAGATGATGACTTTTTAAGTGCTGGGTTTATTTATTTTTTTTTAATCTTAGCTGGAAGATTCTGGGACCTACACCTGTATTGCCAACAATACTGCAGGTGAAGATACACACAGTGTCAGCCTGACTGTACATATTCTCCCCACTTTTACTGAGCTTCCCGGGGATGTGTCCTTAAATAAAGGAGAACAGCTACGATTAAGCTGTAAAGCAACTGGCATTCCACTGCCCAAATTAACATGGACCTTTAATAACAATATTATCCCAGGTGAGTGATTTCTTTCTTAAGAAGTTAATGAATTGAGTGCGTTGGTGGTATAGTGGTGAGCATAGCTGCCTTCCAAGAAGTTAACGAATTCACCCCTGTAAAACTCTAGACCCATCTCCATTTCTTCTGGCTGTGGGAATCATTTGAAAAGTAATGACTGAAGAACTGATTGTTTTAAATTCTATGAAATGTAGGCCTCTGCTTGGATTTTGCCCTCCGCCTAGCATATGTGTTCTGTTCATTCTTTTAAAAGGATAAGTTGGTCACAGGATCATATTTTACAAGATACAAGTAGATTTTTTTTTTTTTTTGCAGTTTTTGGCCGGGGCTGGGTTTGAACTCACAACCTCTAGTATATGGGGCCAGTGCCCTACTCCTTTGAGCCACAGGCACCACCCACAAGTAGATTTTTAACTCAGAAATAATCTCCCTACACCATAAGAAGATACACATATGGGCTCCTAGACTGAGCCTTGCATACACATATGGGCTCCTAGACTGAGCCACCAGGATCTCCTCCATCAATAAATGGATTCAGGTGGCTAATGCTGGAATCCTGAAGATTCATCTGCTTTTACAGAGAAGATGACTTCTACTTCTCACTGTAGGAATCGACCTCTATTATAGTATAGATCAACTTTATGTAGAAAATGTCTAGTCACAATGTATACAACGTGGTAAGGTAGTGCCTGAAACCCAGCAGGGAGGATCAATATCTACGTCTTTGTTCGACATTGTCATCAGTGTAAAGACATTGCCAGTACTGAAAAGTCATCCTAACCCAAAATCGACTTCTGAAGAATTGCACTATTAGCATTTACTAAGTGTCTCGCCTGAAAAATAGTCGTAAGCTTAGGGGAACCATTCTGTTGTCCATATATTAATGACTGAAATCCATCAACTTTGTTACCTGGATAATAGCAATAGTACACCTCACGAAGGAAAAGAAATCTAAAAATTCTAATCAAAGAAAAATATTGTTTTTAAATAACTTGAATGGGAAAAGCACGTAAGGTAAACATAAGTAGATATCCGGTTTACTCAGAATCTTATTTAGTATTAGTTGCATGAGGATTAGCATAGTCACCTTCTATTCTGTTCCAAATATTATAAATTTTTAAATTTATAATATAAATGTTATAAATGTTAATATCATAGCCTTTAAAATAAATGCTTGGCTTTGTAAATGTTTCTGTAGCCACCATTTAAGATTTATAGGGAAGTTTAAATCAGTATAAATGCGATCATGTTTTCATTATTACCTAGCTAGTATATATTTTTATGATTTCCCCTCTGAGCTGACAACTTAGTTGAATTACAAGCTAAAACTGTTTTTATGTTTTTGATGTAAATTGGGAGGAAAAGTGGTGGCAAAATACATGAAATGGAAAATGTAATATTTCTGAATGAAAGAATTTTGAAACCCAGGGAGATTATGAGCCAACTTTAAAGCAACACGCTGAGATGAAAGGTGTACTGTAAACCTAAAATAATTTTTAGAAACGATATTTGTTTTCATTCTCTTTTCCTGTTTCTGCTGCTGTTTTCTTTTTTATTCTCCAAACAAGTGACTATATACCTAGTCAATAACTCAGAGGGAGAAATCTTTGGAAAAGGCCCTCTGCTCCAATGTCATCTTGTGGGTTCAATCGCTGACCGACGCATAAATCTAGTGTTCAAAATACTGAGCTGTCATGAAATGTTTCCTGGGCATTTAAGTTGTTCCCTAACTTGTTTCCCTCAGCCCACTATGACAGTGTCAATGGACACAGTGAACTTGTTATTGAAAGAGTGTCCAAAGAGGATTCCGGTACTTACGTGTGCACCGCAGAGAACAGTGTTGGTTTTGTGAAAGCAATTGGGTTTGTGTATGTGAAAGGTAGGTAAGAGTACTTCATTGCTAAGTGATAATGTTCTCATGAATTATTTGTGTTTTGTTTCCTAATTATGGAGTAATACAGTACAACTTCAGTGCATGAATCCATTGAGTCCTATTTCACAGATATGCAAATTCATGAGCATTTAACTCAAAAGTAGGTTAAGAAGGAAAGAGATCATTTCACACAACGTGGAATCATCCCTGTAGAATATTGAAATTGACAGAATTATCTAGTGACTTAGCAGAAGCAGTTGATTCTGGAAAACTCGTGAAGTTTTAAGGTGGCTTTTCCTCGTCTTTATTAAATTATCTTTCTGGATAGGTCAAAAATCACAAAGAAATGATCAGTGCTCACTTTTACTTTGTTCCTATCTTATATTATTTCCAGAACCTCCCGTCTTCAAAGGTGATTACCCTTCTAACTGGATTGAACCACTTGGTGGTAATGCAATCCTGAATTGTGAGGTGAAAGGAGACCCCACCCCAACCATCCAGTGGAGCAGAAAAGGAGCAGGTGTTGAAATTAACCACAGAATCCGGCAGCTGGGCAATGGCTCCCTGGCCATCTATGGCACTGTAGTAAGTCACACTGGAGTTTATGATGCACATTCAAACCCCCACAGCCAGTGCCCCTCTGTAAGTGCCAGAGATAAGAAAACTTTCTCCTACATTCCTATTTAAATCAAAGAACTCCTTTTTAAAAATAGAAACAACAATTGACATTGTTAGCCGCTAAGTACAGGCAGTAAAATAATTTTGTTACTTTGTTCCCAATCATTGACCTCATCTCCTTATTTATTAACATTAGGAGATAACTTCCTCATATATACTTTAGAAAAAGGAAATAGAAGAATTATAGTTACAGGTAAATTATAGAGTAGATTTTTGTCAGTAAGCCAATAACTATATTAGGCTTTTTCAAAACTTGAGTAATTCAGAAAATGGGTGATGTTTGGGGCTATTATTCTAATTTGGGTTCAAGAGACCCGGAAGTGAGATATTTTATCTGAAGATGTATCAGCTAGAATGCACATGGTTAATTTGTTAGATCACATTTGGTGAGACCTCTTCTCTGTGCTTTCTTTGTTTAATTAATTAGAATAGTAATTAAAATATTCTGTCTGATTACCCAATCTAGTGGACCATTCTCAGTCTTTTATTCTCTTTGATTTCACTTTCAACATTAGGCATTGCTGATGGTTCTTCAGTTTTGAGAGATTATTTTGGCCGTTAGCTGCTATAACACTCATCAGGCTCAGGCTTTTCATCACCACTTTTCTCCTTTTCCTCTACACAAATATTACTGATTCTGAAGCCCTTAGTACTTCTAACACCAGTGTTAATACTAGTACTAATGTTTTTTTCACCACACAGTTTCAGATTTTTAAATAGCTAGTGTCTTCAACCCTAAAACTTCAAGTTCCATGTTCAGCTGCCTACCAGAAACTTCTCTTTGAATAGTACATCAAAACCTCAAAATAAATCAGCATTTATTTTCATCTTCCCATTATCTTCTACTTCCTGAAAAGAAGGAAATTAGAGAGAGGAAAGAGGAAGGTCTGGGTTAGAGACCTGAATTCTGCATTCAGAAGGTCTTTAGCTGTGACTCCAGTTATCAGATCTAAATTCATACAGTACTTACTTTCTATACTTTATGTATAAATTTGGGACTTACACTCTGTAATATGTAATTTGATCCTGTCATTAAAAAAAAAAAAATAGAAGGATCAGCAAGTTTGTCAGATGTAAAACTCAAGTTCATAGCAGGCACAGTTTTTTCAAGATAGGGATGAATTCGCCTCCATACCACCCTTATAAATAAAAGTGAAAGAGTCATCCTATCTTTTACAAGCTGTTTGTCACATTTCCTATAAGACAGACTTTCATTTATCCATATTATAGAAAAGTCTTCTCCGTGCTCCTTTTTCCCAGTTCCTTCAGAGACAACGTTTCCTATGAGTTATTCTTGGAGATCAATGACAGGCCATTTTTAAAAGCTGAGGCTTGGAATTTCTTTTTCTCCCCCATCCTGTTCTTCTTCCTCTTTTTCCTCCTCCTCCTTTAAACCATTTCATGAGGTTAATTGCATGTATATTTTTCTACTTCCGTTAAAATGCCTTCTCAAAAATGAAATCTCAAATAAACCAGTGTCCTGGCGGAAAAAAGTGATTGTCCCTGCTCTGGAGGATCACATTTTTATAAAAACACTGCTTATTTCCATAGAATGAAGATGCTGGGGACTACACGTGCATCGCTGCCAATGAAGCTGGGATAGTGGAGCGCAGCATGAGTCTGACTCTGCAAAGTAAGCTGCTTAATGAAACTTCAGTGAGACACTTGATTTAAGAAATGTCACGTAATCGAGAATGTTCATTTTCCTTAGCTTCGTAGCAAGTCCTTTAGTGGGAGCTCTCAGAGTATGTCTAATTCAGTTTTCTGCTGCTCATGGGATGGGTATCATCAGGTATAAAATTGACAACACTTCTGCACAGAGAGGTTCCCCTATCTTATCTAATAGACACGGTATAAGATTGATGGCAGAGCTCTTTCTTTACAACATATTCGGTGGGGTACCCTTACATTTCTTACAACAGTGCTTATAAACATGTCAATTTGTGGTACTTTTTAAATAGTTATTAAAAATAAACACTTAAATAAATGAGCTCAGAGGTGATCCATGTTGAATACTGTCCATCGTGCTTGAAATGGCTCAGTGTTCTGGGAGGGGTCCTCACACTCACCACACAGCACCATCAGAAAGCAGCGTTCCTGGTTAGAAAGGCAATAAAGACACCAAGACTCACTGGACAGTCCACAGAAGCCCTTCAACCCGATTGGGTTAAGAATTCAAGCAAGCCAGTTTATTTTGTGAGTAGCGTCAGTATTGCACAAGACAAATGTACATTTTCTTCATTCATTATTGAGAGATTCTCCAGTATTTTCTGCCAGCTGTTTGTTAAACTATAATTCTGTAAGATTTGAATAGATAATAAACATTTAACTAAGAGAGCTCTGAGACATGGTTTTATTAAAATACTTAACTATCAAATGATAATGTTGTAGGATATTATTAGGAAAAAATCGGGTTCTATGGTGAAATATCTCTGAGAAAAAAATTGATTAAACAGAATTTATTCATTTGTTAAACATACAAACACCATCTCGAATGAGTCTAGATCTGCCTTTGGTGTACAAGTCGCTGTAGCTCTTTCCAGAAATGTTAACATATTGATGTGAATTGTGGCTCAACAAGAAGAGATTACAATATATTACATTTTTCAGATAAAATGTTATTCCCATGACCATCCTGCCCTCTGTGTTGGGTGAATATAGAGGGTATCACATGCTCAATCTCCTAGCAGAGGGTTTCACTGATCCAGTTTAAGAAAGGCTGCCTGAAGAGGCAGCTTAACTGCACAGACTGACGATAAATTCATTTCAATAAATGAGACATATTAAAAACCCCAAAATGTAATTTGATTCAAATTAAGATTAAAGCACCAAAAGCAATGTTTTTATTTGGGTAAAATGTTCATATATGATGGATAATTATGCAAATGATGGTTAATTGAGCCTTGAAAGATGAATTGTGGAATTTTATTGTTCAACTAATAGCCTTATGCACAATTTAAAATGTCCAACTATTATATCTAAATTATATTTCTGAGTCTTATCTGACACTTTCTTTTGCCATAATAATATGAGCAGATGAGCTAATTTAGTCATTACATTGCCATTTAGTTTGGAGTGATATTTACTTTATTCGATAGTGGTTTATTAAGTAGGTGATGCAATCTGAATTCTAAAAGAAAAGTAGAAATGCTGATCCTGTAAGTTTCTAGAGTGAGGTTACTATAAGCATCAGTTAGGATGTAATAGTGTAGTGTGATGTTGGGCAGGTGAAGAGTAGTGCATATAACACTTGCTTGAGAGAGTCAAATCGGTTTTACAGAAAACACTAGCATGTTAATATTGCAACAAAACACATTTTACTTACATTTTGGGTTTATTTATATGCTACTTATTACAGATACACTTCCCCATCTCAAATCTGCAATCACCCCCCTGAATTGCCTGAGTGTCATGACTTCTCATTGAGCAAATCATCCCCTCTTTCAACTAAATCTCACAAAAACACTGCTCCCAATCCCATCATACATTTTTCTCAAGAATGCACACACCTCCCTTTGCTTTCCTGTTACATAGAAACCCTTCTGATTTTCTTTCAAGATTTCAACCAGTGTTTCAAACTTTATTTGCTGCTACTCTTCTGGATAAATCATCCTTTCTATTCTCATTGTCTAAGGAAAATATAAAAGAAAAGCTAACTCCTATCTCTCATCCTATGTCTGTCTCCCCTCTCTTCTCCATACATATAATTATACTCATTTTTAAAAATTCAGTTTGAGTCTCTTTTCCCCACGAAGTTTTTCTTGGTACTATAGACCAATGTAGAGAGAAACATTCTGACAGCAGCTGGATACATCTCTTTCTACATTCTCTCCAAAGACTTGACTTGGGCACCTGTCATCCACTAGAGATGCTGTTAACCTCTCTTCTTAAGAGTCCTTCCCATGCTTGCCAGGATACCATTTTTTCTCCTGATTTTATTTCTCCTCCAGGGATCAGTTCTTTTTTTTTTTTTAATTTTAAAGATGATGTATTTAATTAAACTATTGTGTTTATTATTTATTTATTTTTAAATGATTTCTTTTTTTTCTTTTTATTAAATGATAACTATGTACATTAATGCAATTCTGGGGTACAGGGTGGTGTTTTCATATACAATTTGAACTATTTTCATCAAACTGGTTAACATAGCCTTCATGTCATTTTCTTAGTTATTGTGTTAAGACATTCATATTCTACTCTTAGAAAGATTCATTTGTACCCTTGTAAGATAAACCATAGAAGTGATCGGTGATCAGTTCTTAATATCATTTATAAGCTTGTTTTCTGTCCATCTCTTAAATAATACAACAGTTTTTGTCTTTGGCTTTGTTCCTCTCCTTTTAGCCTGCCTCTGCATTCCTTTCCCATATCTCTATTCTGACCTCCATCTATGAAAATCGATCTGCCCTCTAGACATCTCCATATGAATGGCCCACGGACACTTCAAGCTCAGTAGTCATAAATGGATGCAAATCATCATTCCTTACTTCTTCCCCACACATCTGTTTTTCCTGCTATTTGCTTCTGAATTGCCAAGCAGATACCATGCTGTACAAATCAGAACCCTGTTGTCACCAGTTCTCCCCTTTAGTCCATACCGCTCTGTGACAAAGTCCTATCATTTTTACTTTTTCAATTGTTGAATATGTCTTCCTTTCCATTTCCAGGGGCATGCTTTTGTTTGATCTATTAAGTTACTATTGTTAAGATCCCACATTAGCACACATCTGCCTCTTGTACAGATATACTATGGCCTGCTTAAATGATGAGTTACTTGTCTAGCTTATCTAGTGGACTGTGAGCTCCTTGACACTAGAAATCATATCTGTTTTCTTGGCACTCTCAGTGCTTAGCACAAGACCTGGCAAATAATAATAATAGGCTCTCAGTACAGGTTTATTAAACAAATGATGATCAGCGACAGAAGAATGAGTTAATGATAAGTCTTCACCTAAGAAATCATCAAAGGAAAGAAGTGAATGTGTAAAACACAGACCACCATAACAATGGTAACTAAGAGTAGTGTGGGCTTACCCTGTTTAAAAGTTGTGCTTACCTCATCTGAATTTGAGTCTTAATAGGAATCTTCTGAAGCAGGCACTATTTTTAGGATAAAGAGGCTCAGAGGTGTAGTATCATAAGGAGCAGAGGCAGAATTTTACTCCAGAAAGCATAATGGTAGAGTCTGATTCATAGGCTAATCTATTTGGGGATTAACACTTTTGACCTTTATTAAATATAATAAAACAGAGCTATGAAAATTGTATCAATGGCAACTATAACCTACCACTTTAGTAGCTGGGAAGCATCAGTGGTTTATAAATAAATCAGCCTAAGTTTTTAAAAGGATAATGTCACACATAATGCATGATAAAAATGCTACAGCTCCACAAAAGTCAAGAAATAATATGTGCTTTTTTGCATAGGTCCTCCTATTATCACTCTGGAGCCAGTGGAAACTGTTGTCCATGCTGGTGGGAGCATCGTACTGAATTGTCAGGCAGCTGGAGAACCTCATCCCACCATTACATGGTCCCGCCAGGGCCAGTCTATTCCCTGGGATGACCGGGTTAAGGTGTTATCCAACCACTCATTACGTATCACTGGTGCCCGAAGAGAAGATACCTCTGACTACGAATGTGTTGCTCGGAACTTAATGGGTTCTGTCCTTGTCAGAGTGCCTGTCACAGTGCAGGGTGAGTGTGATTATAGGGACATTCATGTTAAATAGTACCTGAGGTAACCCAAAGCATAAACATTATTCAGCACTCCAATCTCATTTTAATTCCAGTCTCCTTTGATCGTAAGATACTTCTAGATGGTGGAAATAGAACAAAAATCACCTTGCAATTTATAGGCTGAAGGGACTAAAACAATACAGATGAGAACTTTAAAATACCCAGTTAATAATTCAAAATCCCAGACTAAGTTTTGGATTCAAGACTAAATCACATTTATTCTCAGAAATCATTGTATGTATTTTTCTTTAAAGAAGGTTTTCTATCCAAAAAGTAAACGTATATAAACTTTCCCGGTCTAATTCTTCTGGCAGATACACTGAAGTGAGTCAAAGCATTGGCTCTAAGAAGCTCTAGTTGACTGAATTTCTTCTCTTACTCTTAAATTTCAATTTTACCTTAAAGGAGAACGTCCATAAGCTATTTCTCAGCAATTATAAATTCAGTTCTGTACCCAGTGCATTCTTAAATGAAATCTGATTTACATTTTTTTTTTAATTTGCAAGGGCGGAGACAAAAGTACAATGTTTTCTTTGCAGTTCATGGTGGGTTTTCCCAGTGGTCTGCGTGGAAGTCCTGCAGTGTCACCTGTGGAAGAGGAATCCAGAAGAGGAGCCGTGTCTGTAACGCCCCCCGTCCGGCCAACGGTGGGAAGCCTTGCCAAGGGTCGGATTCCGAAATGCGCAACTGTCACAATAAGCTGTGTCCAGGTACGCCTCTTTATTTAACTGACAGGCTTGTGTTTAAGAGATACCCATTTCTGTACCCCACCTCCTGATTGCCTCCATGTTAGAACTTTCTATTGAAATCGACCTGATGGAGTAATGGTCACTTTTGTACAGTGGACGGGAGCTGGTCAGAGTGGAGTCCTTGGGAAGAATGCACGAGGAGCTGTGGGCGCGGCAACCGAACCAGGACCAGAACATGCAGTAATCCATCAGCCCAGCACGGTGGGCGGCCGTGTGAAGGGAATGCTGTGGAAATAATCATGTGTAGCATCAGGCCTTGCCCAGGTGAGAAGCCGCTGATTATAGCAGATAAGCGCAGCTCTTATATTTTTAATTTCTATAAGAGAATTATAATTGCCTTTTCTTGTTTTCATTGTGGAAAAAAATATGGTGGCTTCTACCCTTGAGAATCTGTTTCAAGAAAAACATTATCAAGGAATGACATTATTCAATAAAAATACCTGATTTAATTGAACATGAAAAGAGGCTCCAAAGTGTGTCATCGTTAATCACATAGTGAAAATATAAGTATTGCAGAGTCATAAAGTAACATCTAATGCAGCCGCCCATTTTCAGGTAAGAAAAACGAGGCTTAGGGAGGTTAAAGACTTGCCCAGAAATGCAGAACAGGTGAGGGATAAAATGCCAATAGCCACCGTTCACTCCTCACCCATCTTATGGCAGGGGCTGTGCTGGGCGCTTTATCTCCTTACTGACTTTATATTGTTGGGCTCTTTCAGATGAAAGTGACAGAAAACCCTGCAGGTATAACTGAGCCCAAGGATTTGGACAATGTTTTTACTCTCATGTTTTCTGTCTCTAATCTCTTCCTTCCTTTCCCTTTGGCTTTGTTCTCTTTTAAACTCTTGCTATGTGTTGGAAAGAGTGATTGCCCGTAGGTACTGGCTCACAGGGGAAGTACCTCGTCTCTGGGAATTCCTATCAGCCTCTGGGAGAGAACCCTGTTTGATTTTGTTTGGGTCATATGCTCACCCCTGGACTCAAGGGAGTCCAGAAGAGGATACTGTTATAGCTAGCTTAGGGGGCTTGCCTACCTCATGTGAAAAGGGGGAGAGATCCTTTCTTGGCAGCCCAAAGACATCATATACAGTCAAGGAAGGACTGTTCATTCATTTATTCCTTTATTCACCCAGCAAAGTGCTCCAGGCACTCTTCTAAGTCAATCTAATGGGTGGAGTTAGAATGATAAATAGGCAAGGTCTTTCAAATATTGATAGTATGCTAAACAAACTCAGAGTTAAAGTAATAGAGTGCAGCTGGAAGAGACAGCTTATCTGGAATGGTCAAAGAAGAGGGTGTGGCTAAGCCAAAAAGAGACTGGTACCTACTACATCAGGTATCGCATCCTGCTGTGCAGATGAGGAAAGATCCCGAAAATGCGAAGTAATTCACTAAGGTTACAGACACTAAGGTTAGCCAGTGAAAAGTGAATCAAGGACTTGAACCCAGGGTTGATCTGATTCCCAAGCCTATTTGTTCAGATCCTGGGGATCTTAAATCTGTAGTTCAGACCTTTAATTACATTACAAAAATAAAGTACCATCCTAAAATCTTAAAGAAAACAATTAAAAGGCAGATTTTTTCCAGTCTTACAGAATTAAAAGAGCTAATTGTAATAGCGTCGTGTTCTAAAGTGAAAAGACCCAGACATACCGATGGGAGCACCTTGTGTACAACTGGTCAGCTGTGATAACTACAGAATGAAAAACTAAGGGGTATTTATAAATGTCCTAAAATAAAAGTCAGCTTGTTCTCTTTGTGTCAGTAACTATTTGCTTCCTTACTATTGTTTTGTTCGCTGTTCTGTTGGCTTACTGTGTTTTAGGTTTTCTCTTGTTATTTCACCAACCCCTGAACCAACTGAATTTCACTGTTGTTTTGGCATAATGCCAGCAGTGTCCTGGCACCGGTCACTAAGAACCTACCTCTCTTCCCAATAGGAGTATGTGTGAGGGTTTAGTGCTGCCATATTGGCGGGTATGCTGCAGCCCTAGTGGGAGTATCTATACCACAAAAATTAGCAGATGCTACAAGTCACTTTCCCTCCCCACCCCCAGAGAGCTGGTTGTTAACCAGCCCAGCACTGTAAAATGGGGCGATAGCTCAAGATAGCATTCCTCTTCCAGGGGTAGGTAAAAATCTTAGGAGCACAAGGTATTTGCTGTTAGTACAAATGTACTTTTAATAATGTGAAACTTAGAGAAAAGTTGCAAGAATAGTACAAAGAATTCCTATGTAACTTTTACCCAGATTCACCAATTGTGTATCTGTCCTAAAACAAGGAATTCTCTTTCATAAGGTCAGTGGTCAAAATTGGGAAATTGGACATCGATATCATCCTGTCACCTAATCTTATTATTTGATCCCATTATCTAGTTCACAGTCCACATTCAAATTTGGTCAGTTGTCCTCGTAATATCCTTTATAACTCTTTTCCCTCTATCAAGACCTAACCCAGGACACACTCACGCTAATTTGTCACGTCTCCTTAGTCTTCTGTAATGGGAAACATTTCTGTCTCTTTTCGCTTGTCAGCACGTTGGTATTTTGGAAGTGTACAGCCATTTTATATCCTGTAAGGATTTTCGGTTGGAGGTTTTGTATCTTAGCAGGAATCCTATAGAAATGATTTTGTGTCCTTCACAGCGAGTCATTTCAGGAGGCGTACAAAGTCAGTGTGTCCCATGCTGGTGACGTTAACTTTCTTCACTTGGTTAAGGTTTTGTCTGTCACTGTATACATAATTTCCATTTTTACTTCTCTGAGCCCTAAGTATTTTATAGGGGAATTTTGAGATTACATAAACCTCTTCTTATCAATCTTCCATACACGAGTTTAAGCATCCATTTTATGATTCTTATTGGAATAGTTATTACTATGATCTTTGCAAAATAGTTATTTTCTAACTATCATATCTGTGCAACTTTCCACTGTAACAAAGAACTTTCTTATTTCTTTACTTTTTGATTTATATCAGTAAGAACTCATGTATTTTTCAACGTTGTGGTGCTAAGATATACCGTTTAATGGTTTATTATGCACTGTCATTATTCATTGTGATGCTCCAGTTATCCGAGATGTGCGTAGTGGGGGAATCCCCTTCAGGCTAGCTTCAGTGTTAATTTGCAGTGTCCCGTGATTCGCTGAGTACTCCCTTCATTGCTTTGCAAATAGATACTTCAGGCTGATCTTATACTTTCCCTGCCCCAGTTATAGAGTACTTTTAAGCTGGTAATCTTCCTCCTAAAAAATATTGATATCGGCCAGACACAGTGGTTCACACCTGTAATCCTGGGAGGCCTAGGCAGGTGGATTGCCTGAGCTCACAGGTTCAAGACCAGGCTGAGCAAGAGCAAGACCCTGTTCCCCCAGAAATATCTGGGCATTGTGGTTGGAGCCACATGCCTGGCTATTTTTTGGAGAGTAGTCCCAGCTACTCAGTAGGCAAGAATCACCTGAGCCCAAGAATTTGGAGGTTGCTGTGAGCTATGATGCCACAGCACTCTACCAAGGGTAACAAAGTGAGATCCTGTCTCAAAAAAAAAATTGATATCTTTTGTGGTGGCACATCCTGCCATTTGAGAGTTATTGTGATTAAAGATGTGTATGTATATACAACTATACATATATATAGTTACAAATTACTTTAAAAATGAGCATTTTTCATGTGTCTTCCTGAAAACTGTTGAGAACTCTAAGTGAAGCTCATAGTAGCTCATAGCTCACACTTACATAGGATTTGCTGTGTTCCCTATACTGTTCCAAGCACTTTTCTTTGGGGGGGGCAGTTTTTGGCCAAGGCTGGGTTTGAACCCACCACCTCCAGCATACGGGGCTGGCGCCTTACTCCTTTGAGCCACAAGCGCCGCCCCCAAGCACTTTTCATTTATAAACTCGTTATTCCTCATCCCCAACCCCAACAAGATATGTTCTTTTATTACCCACTTGCTGCAAATGATGACCAGGCACACGGAAGCCCAGTAACATGTCAGGGTCACCCAGCTGGTAAGGGCAGAGCAGTTATTCAGGCTCAGCACATCACCCCGTTGCTCCCTGCATGTAGCACCGAGCCCCACTGTGCTTTCATAATCAGAATTGCATTTGTAGTGCAACAATAGATTCAGCCATCATATTTTGCATTTTTCTTATATATTAATTCCTCTGTAGTTTTTATTGCATCTCGGTACTATGATGTTTTATGCCTTCCTTGGTGGTTAAGGTTTTCTGCATTGATTGAAAAATAAAAATAAATAGGTCTTCAGCTGAAAACCTATACTTATATGCAGTGGAAATGACACAGATATTAAATAAATAAATGTCACCCAATTATCCTCCAATAAACATGTGCCTCTACGCTGTCTAGCTTTGTATTGTAAGAGATTTGGGCTCTTGTTAACCAAAGGCTTGAAAACAGAATGTATTAAATTGAAACTGCAGGTTTCTGAAATCACAGAGTCTGTCTAAGAGGACTGTGAGCATCTTCGGCCTGAAGTAACAGAGCAGGTTTCAATACCTGCCATGTATTTAAAGGTTTTCTTCTTTCCTCTGCGGGTTAGCCAAATAGTATTCAGTACAAATTCTTATTGGCTAAAATAGATCTGTGTGACTATGTCTGTGACTACAAAGCACAAAGATACATAGGCAACTCAATTAGAAATTCACCAATTATAAGAAATGCAAAATGTGTTTTAAAATATTTTCTAGCCCAGTGATAGTTTTATTACTTGGTTTTCAACTTATTCTTTTGGTATCTTACAGGTTGTACTAAGAGAATATTTTGACTCAAACCTTAACACCCTGCTCGTATTTTGCTTACACTGAGTGACCAAGAAACATAATGACCCTCATATCTAGAAAGTTCCCTTTAAACAAAAACATGCCCTGAGACTGACTTGTACGTGAGGGAAATCAGAACGTTGATTCTCAGCCCACACACCTGGTAGGAAGCGTAAGGTCGTTCCAGTCTTGTGGTCAGATGGTGTAATATGTTAGTGACCAAAAGGAAGCCCTTAATATCGCTCTTTGGAAACTACTGGTCAGCTTTTTCTGTTGTTTAGGAAGCGGGTGAGTATGTCATTCAGAGCTTTTAATTCATGAACATTATGTAATGGAGAAAATTTTTTCAAAGACTTACAACTGTGCAAATCATTGTGTTGTTGAAAGACACGTTTGTAAGTCTGAAGCACAGTCAGGCTTAAAGATGTGGTCTCCCAGCCTGGGCTCCAAATTATCATTGTATTATCTGTAACCATATCTAGATCTATTAGACAGCCTTGTTTGTAAGCCCCAAGTTCTTTCTACTTTCCCCAGAGCATAGAACATAGACAAATACTTAGTGTTTAAACACTCAGATTATGTTTACATATGGTAGTTTGAATAAATTTAATTTTAACGAAATAGCCCATTCGGGTGATTGTAAGCATTTATCTTGGCATTAGGTGAGCCTTCTGAATTTCTCTTTAGAAACAAATTTCTCTAAAAAATAACTGCAAGGAAAAAGGAAGAACATCATTTATTATGTTTCCTTCAGTTCAGTTTAAATTATTTGCGATTGTGGGCTAAACCACTCATTATTGAGTTAATTTATTTGTATGATTTTGTTCTTTAAATGAACATAGCCCTTTGACCTGAAACTCTGTCTCTTGGGGTGTTTATAGTTCATGGAGCCTGGAGTACTTGGCAGCCTTGGGGTCCATGCAGCGAAAGTTGTGGGAAAGGTACCCAGACAAGAACAAGACTTTGCAATAACCCACCACCATCATTGGGTGGGACCTTCTGTGATGGACCAGAAACACAAGTTCAAGTTTGCAATGAAAGACACTGTCCAGGTAAGAGAAGTGTACTGTTTGGGTCTTTAATAAATTAACATCTACCTATCTTAGCCCAGTGCCAATAAGACTCTGTTCCATTCTGAGTATACCCACAAGAACATCACTCAAACTAAAAATGCCCAGAGTTTAACCTGGTGATTTTTAGGTAGTCACAAATCACATGCATTTTTTCCTTACTGCAGTGCATGGCAAGTGGGCAACGTGGGCCAGTTGGAGCATCTGTTCAGTCTCCTGTGGAGGGGGTGTCAGGCATAGAACAAGGGACTGCTCTGACCCTGCCCCCCAGCACGGAGGAAGCAAGTGTGAAGGAAGCGATATCCAGAGTGATTTTTGCAATAGTGACCCTTGTCCAAGTGAGTGTTGGAAATAGTGAGTCAACATTATACTTTTTTAGAAGTCCTTAAAGTTACGGTATTCTGTTCATTCGTTCTTCAGCCTTTGCTCTTGAATGTCAAAGTGTTTTGTTTGCTGTCATGTCGATATAATACCATATACGTCTTTGATTCGTAAGGCCAGAGCTGTGTCCTCTTTGCATAGGACTGACTGCAGCGTGTGAGGATGAGAACACCCTTACATTTAACTCTTAATGATGCTTATGATTCTTTTATGGTGCATGGAGGCAGCTCTCTCCCTTAATGCTGTCATCAAGCTAGATTTTTAGGCCCCAGCAGCAACTTGATATCTGGAAATTTGAGTTATACTATATCCCGAATGTTAACCACCTTGGCTTATGAAAAGCAGAGACCCTGTATCTTTCATACCCCCCGCCCTAGGTCCTGGAATATGTTAAGACTTAATAAGTGTATGTTACATGGAATCATACAATTGCTGGCAATTACACCTAGTTTCTAGTCAAAATAGCAACCAAACCATCTTCCTTTGGAAGCGGCCTGTTCACAGAGTTATATGTTTCAGTTCCTGGGGAGAGGCTTTTCCGTGCTTTTTGGATGAATGTCAGCATCAGCACTTCTCAGTTTTAGAGCTGTTTTCATGTCAGATGGTTCTGTGTTGCAGCCCATGGACACTGGAGCCCTTGGAGTGGCTGGGGAACGTGCAGCCGGACGTGCAACGGAGGCCAGATGCGGCGGTACCGCACGTGCGACAACCCGCGTCCTGCCAATGGAGGGAGAGCCTGTGGGGGGCCCGACTCCCAGACCCAGAGGTGCAACTCTGACATGTGTCCCGGTGAGCTGCTCCCTTCCTGGCGGTAGAACAAGTAGAGCTTTTCCTTTAGTGCTCATTGTGGCCTTTCTATCGTTTCAGACCTAAAAAGAAGGTTGTCTAGGCAAGGGCACCCCAGGTGTACACATTAAAACCAATTTGTTGGTATTGACCACTCCCCTCACGTTTACAGTGGATGGAAGTTGGGGAAACTGGCATAGTTGGAGCCCATGTTCTGTCTCTTGTGGAGGAGGTGAAAAGCCTCGGAAGCGGCTGTGCGACAGTCCGGCTCCAGCGAAAGGTGGCCGTCCCTGTCCAGGAGATGCTACTCAGGTGTCCAGATGCAATACACAAGCATGTCCAGGTAAGCAGCAAAATTGGGCTTTCGAAGGACCATTGCTGGCACGTTCACAGCCTGTGTTCAAATTGTGAAATAATGCCCCAAATTATAACACAAGGCCAACTCAGGGAGGAGGAATTAGGAAAAATGTGCTTTTTGCCCTTAGTTGGTAAAACTTTCTGTCAATATTCAGGACTGGGTTGTAGCCTCTACTTGGCCTTCCAAGCTTCCTGGTAAAAAGGCACAATCATCACAGCCATAAATGGTAGTCCTAGGCTGAGCAGGTTAAGGGGTGACACAGAGTGGGGAAGGGTGGGCTGAGACTCCAGGCCACAGATGAGGATGGGCAGTGATGAAATATGTAAGCGGAGTCTATTCATTCATGGCTGGGGATACGTGCAAAGTAAAATAAAGGTCAGTTCAGTTCAAGGAGAAAGAATAGGGGAAGTTCAAGTGCCATACCCAAGTCACACATCACAGCTTGGTATTTAAGTGAGGTAAATATTTAGAATTCTGGTTTGGTGCCAGTAGCTCAGCAACTAGGGTACCAGCCACATACACTGGAGCTGGCAGGTTCAAACCCAGCCTGGACCTGCCAAACAACAATGACAACTACAACCAAAAACTAGCCGGATGTTGTGGCAGGTGCCTGTAGTCCCAGTTACTTGGGAGGCTGAGACAAGAGAATCGCTTTAGCCCAAGAGTTTGAGGTGCTGTGAGCTGTGATGCCACCGCACTCTACAGAGGGTGACATGTCTCAAAAAAAAAAATTTAGAATTCCATAGGGTGTCCCAAAGGTAGTTCCTAAAGTTACCATATGAAGGAAAAATGGGAATGTAGCTAAATGTACCTTATTTAAAAACTATTTTTATAAAATTTTATAACATGTAAAGAAAAATTTGTAAATATTTTATAAAATTTTGTAATGAATAGTTTATAAATGTATATTTAGCTACAGTTTCCCCCTTTCCCAATGTATGTCCTCAATTTCAGTAATGTTTTCAGCATCTTCACCAGGAGCAAATACATCTCAAGGATGGAATCTTTCTTTGCTCATGCACCAAAAGCAACTTCTCATCTATTCAGGTTATATCAGGAGATTGCAGCAATTCAGTCACATCTTCAGGCTCTACTTCTAATTCTAGTTCTCTTGCTATTTAGACAATGTCTGCAGTTAGTCCCAACCCTGAGATTTTGAACCCTAATGTCATCCATGAGGGGTGGAATGAACTTCTTTCAAACTCTTGTTAATGTTGCTAGTTCGACCTCCTCCCCTGACTTATAAAAAGTTTTTAGTGGCATCCACAGAATGATGCATCCTATCCAAATGGTGTTCAATATAATTTTCCCAGATCCATCAGAGGAATCATTATGTATGGCAGCTGTCCCCTTATGAAGTGTATTTCTTAAATAAAAAGGCTTGAAAGTCAAAATTACTCCTTGATTCATGGGCTGCAGAATAGATGGCATGAAACAGTATCAGTCTTGTTGCACTGTTCACCTCCATCAGAGCTGTTGGGTGTCTAGGTGCATTGTCAAAAAGCAACATTTTGAAAGAAATCGTTTTATCTCAGCAATAGGTCTCAATGGTATGCTATAATAAACCATACTATAAACAGACGTGCTGTCATCCAAGCTTTGTTGTTTCATTTATAAAGCACAGGCGATATGAATTTAGCATAACTCTTAAGGGCCCTGGGATTCTTGAAATGGTAAATGACCATTGATCTCCACTTAAGGCAGGGCCAGTGAAGTCACCAGCTGTATTAGTGTCTGAAGCCAGCATTGACTTCTCCTCTCTAGCTAGGGCAGTCTGAGATGGCATCGTCTTCCAATATAAGGCTGTTTTGTCTCCATTGAAAATCTGTTGATTATGTAGCCACCTCCATCAATTACTTAGCTAGCTCTTCTGATTAACTCGCTGCAGCTTCTCTATCAGCACGTGCTGCGTCATCTTGAACTTTTATCTTACTGAGATGGTATTTTTCTTTAAGCCTCACAAACCAACCTCTTTTCTTCTACAGCTGCTTCTGCACTTTCAGCTTTCATAGAATTAAAGAGAGGAAGGGTCTTTCTCTGTATTGGGCTTTGGCTTCAGGGAGTGTTGGGGCTGGGTTGATTTTCTATCCAGACCAGTAAATTTTGCTCCATTATCAACAGTAAGGCTGTTTCACTGTCTTATCATTTGTGTGGTCACTGGAGTAGCACTTTTGATTTTCTTCTCTTGTATTCCCAACTTGTCTGATGAGTGCGAGAGGCCTAGCTTTTGGACTTTCTCAGCCTTCAACATCCCTTCCTAACTAAACTTAATCATTTCTAACTTTATTTCAAGGGAGAGATGTGCACTTAAACACTTAGAGGCCATGGCGTAAGTAATTGGCCTAATTTCAATATTGTGTCTCAGGAATTAGGGAGGCTTGAGAGAGAGAGATGGGGGAGGAACTGATCCGTTGGTGGAGGCGTGAAAACACGGGGTTGAGAAAGTTCGCCTTAGATGGGCAGTGTGTGGTGCCCCCAAACAGTTTCAATAGTAACAACAAAAATGACCGGTCATGGATCACCATGATAGATACGGTAATAAAGAAAAGGTTGGAAATATTGTAAGAATTGCTAGAATTGTCAAAACGTGACACAGAGACAAAGTGAGCAGGGACTATTGGAAAAGTGACACCAGTAGACTCGCTTGTCAGAGTTGCCACACATCTTCAATGTGTAAAAAATGCAACTTCTGTGAAGTGCAGTTAAGTGAAGTATAATACAATGAGGTGTGTACACGACAACAGCATCTCAAATACCTAGTCATTGCTTTTAAATACATTAAAAGATACCAAATAATGATGGTTTATAAATTTCACTATGAGCCTCTTCCAAATATGTTGGCCTCTCTTGTTAAAGCATGAAACTAATTCACTAACCACCTATCCTGTGCTAGTACCCAATAATTTTAAAAGAAGGCATAAAATTACTATAAAGACATTTCTTTTTTAATTTATATATTTTTCTGTCAATCAAACTCTTTTGATAGGAATTTTACAGCATCAAACATATGCTATCTTTCCCAAAATTTTTCTCAAGCTAAGCATTTTCCAGTATATAAGTAAAATGAAGAACTTGAGAAACCCTTGATTTAAAGCTGAAGACTAAACGACGTCCCTTGGATACTCCACATTTATCTTGACCCTGACCTGTAATGAGGCTGTTTTGCTGGTGAGCTCTCTTTCACTGTATGTTCTCATGAAGGAAGCAATAAATAACAGAACATCGGTTTTGAAGCCAAGAAGACTCACATTCAAATCTTCATTTCACCACTTTCTAGCTGTATAATGATGTGAAAATGGCTTAATTTCTGTGAACTTTATTTCCCTAATCTACAAACTATGGCTGCTTAAAGTCATCTTGTACAATTGCTAATAAGATTAAAAGAGTTAACACATACTGTTTCCTGTTGTGCGTGACATGCTTAATAAACTCATTGTCATCATCGTTCTATCGCCACCAACAAACACGTACTTTATTTTAGTTTGGGAACTGGATGCTGATTGTATTCTTTGGCTTGTGAAGTAATATGATGATGAACATAGATTGGAAGGATCCTAGATTTATGAGAGATGATGAAAGTTGAATGTTTTAAAAGCTTATTTATTTCACTTTTAAATTCCGATGTCATCCGACCTTTCTGATATTTGAGAGAAGATTTGCAGCATCTCTGAGCATCGGCCTTCCTGTCCCATGTTGATGGCATTGCTTCCTTATCCAGAAATGTTTTTTCTTTTCCCAATAGGTGGGCCCCAGAGAGCCAGGGGAAGTGTTATTGGAAATATTAATGATGTTGAATTTGGAATTGCTTTCCTGAATGCCACAGTAACAGATAGCCCTAGCTCCGATGCTAGAGTAATACAGGCCAAAATTACCAATGTGCCACGTAGTCTTGGTAAGTCTCTTAGCTTATGAAAGTTGCTCATAAGCCTCCTTCTAAAAATATATAGATTGGGTGGCACCTGTGGTTCAAAGGAGTAGGGCACCATCCCCATAGGCTGGAGGTGGTGGGTTCAAACCCAACCCCAGCCAAAAACTGTAAAAATCTAGAGATTATTTTTCATCTTATCATTTCCCCCTGAAAGTTTGTAGAAGATGCTACTACTAAATCATCAATATTATAGCACTTACTGCTATTCCCAAGATAACCTCGCAAAGATTCATGAGGTATAGGTGTTTTCTTGTGTGTTCTTCAAAATTATAGTATTTATCTGTGTGAAAACATGCTGCGAAGACAATAATAAAAGATTGTAAATATTTGTTGTCATCTTCTTTATCTTTCTTCATTAGGTTCAGCAATGAAAAAGATAGTTTCTATTTTAAATCCCATTTATTGGACAACAGCAAAGGAAATAGGAGAAGCTGTCAATGGCTTTACCCTCACCAATGCGGTCTTCAAAAGGGAAACCCAAGTAGAATTTGCAACTGGTTAGTGTCAACTTAACATTCTAAACAAATACAATTTCCATACAGATTGGGAGTTAATAAAAAAACATGTTATATGTTTCCATAGAGAATAATTATAAAGTTTTTGGAGCAATCTTATCAGAAGTGATACAAAAGCAATTTCATACTTTCCTGTAAGCTTGTACTGACCCGAGGGCATAAGAGGCCACGTGTTCTCAAGCAGTATAGTAATTTTTATAGTCCAAAAGTTTTTTTTTCTCCTCTTTTCTGCATCTTTTCCCTTTAAATCTTTAGAGAATGTTTTGAAGGCCAAAGAAAAGAACATGAATCATTGTAGTTAGTTAAAGACTTTTGGCTTTTAACTTTTGACTTTGAGATTCAGTTAGCATAACTTATAGAAATTCTTTATCAAAAAGATGAAAATAAAAACAAGCAAACAAAAGCTTTCACTTCTCCATAATCTTAAGGAGTACGTGTTAGCTATTTATACCCTTTTAAGGTACACACAGGTTTTTATAAAGCTCCATTTCAAGCCACTTCAAAGGTGGTCAGCCTCTATAGTGGCTCTTCTCCTTTCAGGAGAAGAGATGAAGGAAGGCTTATCTTTAAACAACGTTAATCAGCCAAGAAGATAAATAGATCTCTCCATGGTCATCCACTTACGGACAAGCCCTTTGCTGCTTTTCTCCAGAGCATCTGAAAAAAAGAAATGCCTTGTGGCCAGACTTGTGCTTCTTACCAGTCTGTCTGTTGAAGCTATTGCTCCATTCTCAATCCATTTTTGTAGAACTGCCTTGTAGCTGTTTAAAGTATGGGATTCTTTACATAATCATATGCTACATTTTGGCCACATAAGAAGAAATTTTAGAAGAAACTTCATTCAATAAGCCTAACTCTTCCATTGGGAGGTTAAATCTAATTTAATTCTCTTATTATCCGTGCTCATTCAAGTCTGAACTAAAATAACATAGCTGAACTGGTACGTAAAGTAAGTCTGCTCTGTGATTACACAAACCCTATGTTTTTTACTGTCCAAATGGAGATGCCTTGTAATTCCCAGGAGAAATTTTGCGGATGACTCATATTGCCCGGGGCCTGGATCCCGACGGAGCTTTGCTGCTCGATATTGTTGTGAGTGGCCGTGTGCTGCAGCTCCAGTCACCTGCTGAAGTCGCTGTCAAGGTAGGATGCCAGGATAATTTGTCTTCACTGTGCGTTCAGGCGATGATAAGCGTGTGAATCAAAGAGCCACAGAAAGAGCGCGGAGAACTTGTGTATTTTCTCTTGTTCATTTTGGAGAGTAAATGCCTTCACAGAGGTTATAAATGATTATCTGGTCTTTGTTTAAAAAGCTTCGGGAACAAGCCTTTACAAACTCTCTTAGTGGTTTTATTACCCTGCTTATCAGCCCCCCAAATCACTGCTGTGTTGATTTAAACCATTTGTTTCATTTTCTCCAGGCAAGGGGCATGGTAATTCTTGCATAAAAGATTTTGTATATTGTCGTCAGACGTATTTCAGAAATTGAAGAATAACAGTCACCTTTCCCATCTTCCTTTATTCTCCGCCAACAACTCGGAGTCTCTTATTAAACTGAAATTTACGGCGGTAAATTTATGAAACTAATCTGGTTACAATTGAAAGGTTCAAACCTCAAGTTACTTCCTGAATACTGCTGTACAATTACAGTAGAGAGCTAGTTATTTCTAGCCCCTAAATCCTTCCCCACTGCTCCTCATTCTGTACCTCATAGTATGCTTAAAGGGAAAAAAAATGGTCTGAGCTATGTTGATCTTCAGATTCTTATTCTCCTCAGGATTACACAGAGGACTACATCCAAACGGGTCCCGGGCAGCTGTATGCCTACTCAACCCGGCTGTTCACCATCGATGGCATCAGTGTCCCGTACACTTGGAACCACACCATCCTCTACGATCACACCCGGGGAGGAATGCCCTTCCTGGTAGAGACGCTTCACGCATCCTCTGTAGAATCTGACTATAACCAGTTAGAAGAGACATTGGGTTTTAAAATCCACGCTTCAATTTCCAAAGGTAATTTGATTAAAGGAGAATTGTATCCTTATGGCATCTAAATTCCTAAAACAGTAAAAAAAATGGCATTGACTATAAGGTTTCTCATGTGTGTTATCTGTTTTGTTGTCTGTAAAGCCCCGCAGTAAAGCTAGCCAATTGGAGTTCTAGTACATTTAGTTTACTAATATGCTAATATGCTCCTTCATGCTATAGGGACGTTTCTATTCTTCTATTCCATATACACAGAGAGGATAACAATATATCATCTATCGATTTTTCTTAGAGTAATAAAGTCCCTTTTTTATTGTTTTGTGTTTCGTATTTATTGAAGAATTGTTTTAATTCCTGAAACATAACGTAAAGGTGTATCTTACATTGGTAAAGAAAAAAAAAATAAAGTTTTCTTATTTTAAAAGCAATGTTTAAAAACTATGTAGCAATAAGCAGGGTTCCAACTGTCATCTCTTACTTTTGAAAATTATAATTTTTGAAATGCTTTCCATTTTCCAAGCATAGTTCTGCACCCCTGAAATCTAAATAGGTCCCTTTGCTCTGTGGTACTCTGAGAGGTCTAGTCCCTGAGATTTCCTTCTCAATTATAACAGCCAGCACGGCGGTTAGCATCTCATGTTTGTGAGGTTTTGGTGTGAGGAGACACTTAGATGTGTTATGCTGTGGACATGCACTGTTTGCATGCCGTTAGCCTTCCATGAGTACACTTCAAGGGATTCGCATGGGCCTGGTGAATGGGTGTGTTTTGCTTTGTGCTGACTCCCGTTTCATGGACCCAAGTCTATTTTTAAACATGCCCATTTCGTTCTAATGTGCTCAGCAGGTCAACATAACACTCACTGTTAGTGTTCACTCTTGCTTTGGTTGTGCATAGGACCATTTCTTCTTCAACATGTACTAGAACCACTTCATCAAATTTTAGATCATAGTAACCTGGGAGTATGGGCACACATTTATACGCTTTATAAAAGTCTCGTAGCCCGGTGAGGCCCAGAGCCCCCGAGCCCCCATCTTCTCCACCCATAATCTCTCCACCACCACCTCATTTTACTGCTGCCATGCGTGTTCAGCCACTTTCATGAAAGAAAAGAGATGCTGGAATGTGGAGTTACGTTTCTGTTCCCTATTACGTCTTGCTTTTCAAACCTAACCTCTGTTTCTATTATTTTCAGTACTCTGAAAAAAAAGGTAACTAGGCACAAGACATTGGTTACAAATATTTATTCCATCTGGGACTAAAGGAATTAAAATTATTATTTTGAGAAGTCATGTGCCCTTTCAACCCAGTCATATAAATCTTCTAAGCCTGAAACTGCTTGAAGGGTCTTTGCGTTGACTCTCAATGTGCTGTTGAGGGATCTCGAGTCCTACAATGGAAATAAACACAAGACCTTTAATGACCTTACTGTTTTTGGACACTGTGATTCTGTGAATTACGTCTGACACATATGCTATTAATTGTTGACATTGTTCTTGTGAATTTTAAGAATTGTGAACCTGTGATTTGTTTATGAGTGACCACCAGAGGGCAAGCTTGCATTCTTGGTAGCTTAACAAGCAAATTGTCTTTTTTGTTGGGTCTGGACTAGAGCTAGATATGGTTACCTGCAATTAGAGTTATGCAGGCATCCTCAAACTATGGCCCACGGGCCACATGCAGCCCGCCTAGGACATTTATCCGGCCCGCCGGTTGTTTTTGCCTCCACTGCCTGTCCTGCTTAGCAGCCGACTCCTCCAGGGGCCCTCAGTCTGGCCCTCCAACGGTCTGAGAGACAGTGAACTAGCTCCCTGTTTAAAAGTTTGAGAACCCCTGAGAGAGCTTGATGGGGCACAGACAGTGTTGGTTTAACAAGTCTAACCAAAGGGCCTGGGATTCTGTATTTTTAACACAGACCCTCAATGATTCTAACATATCTGGTCTGCACACTGGTTTTGGAAACTAACTAGTTGTCACAATAACTCATACATCTAAATCAGCCTCCTTCAAAAAAATTTTTATGTCTTTAAAATCAAATGGATTTTTAAAAATATATAATTGTAAAATATATTTCTATTTTACAAATCAACCAGGAGAAACTATAGAGGAAGAGAGAGGAAGAGATACATACATTTAGCTATAACTAATTTTTTTACAACTTCTACACAGGATAAAAAAGCAAAATGAGAAGGCACAATGTGCACCAAGAAGAAATCTTTGCATCACATATTCTTGACTGTGCTAATTAACCTTGATACATACAAGGCTCTTAAAAAACAGCACGAAAGAGCCAAATATTCTGAATAGAAGAATGCATAAAGGAAATTCACAAAAAGACTCATCATAACAAACAAATATGAAGGAACTGTTTACCCTCATGAATAGGCAGTGAAATGTCAAGTAAAACAATGACGTGTCATCTTTTAACTATCATTGTCAGAGATTAACAAGCGTGATAACTGGCTAAGGTTAAAGAGGTATTGGGAAATGAACAGTTTGTCATTCTGGAAGTCTATTCTGAGAAAACCACAGAGATAGCCAAAGATGAATGTTCAGAAAGCTTCCGCTAGTGCTAGAAATAATAGGTAAAATAATTAACGCATGGCCATAAAGATGTAAATAGGTGGGTGATGGCACAGCTGTACGATAAACTATTAAACAACCATTGAAATGATGTTTTAGAAATAATTTATTTTTTCATGTAACAATCACTCGTTAAGACGCTGTTCAGTACCTAGAGCAATTGACAATATAAGTGTAAACAAGTGGCAAAGGAGAAAGTTCATGACAGTAATAATTGAAAGGCAGAGTCCAACGTGATTCAAACCTGGGTTGCACAGAGCTAAGTGATTATAAGGAAATCTTAATACTGCTTAGAAGTGCAGATTTCTAGGTCTCTTCCTTGCCAATTTTTATAGAAATAGGACCAAGGGATCTATATTTTTAATAAGCTTTCCAACTCATTTTTATGATGAATAAAGCTTGGCAATTATTAATCTTTGTATTAACTTAATCTAGGGGTATTAACTCACACTTTAATATTAAAAATAAGTAAAAGGAAAATAATTCATAATAAAATATTATATATTTTTAATATAAAAATCTTCTGACACAGAGGAGTAGTCCTAGGCCTGAACATACGTACAGAATCTCAGTGTGATTTTTTTTTTCCTGGAACATCAGGAAATTCTTAGTAATGTCCTAAATAAAACAACGTACAATCAGCTATCAACTTATATGACAGCTGCACTCCTGGGAAGTTCATCATATACTTAAATCATGTGGAAAATGTTTATCACATGGCAGATAGGTTCAAGACTTAAGCAACTACAGCTTTCTTACTTTCATGAAAATCTCGTAGGGCAAGGGACAAATCATCTTGCAAGACTCTCTTCACATTGCATTATTATAAAACCTGCCCCAGCATCTGCCCAATCGCTACTTTTTAACAGTCCATCTTATCATTATGACAACCAAAGCACCTCCAAAAAACCTTCCAAAATGCCACCAAAAATCAAAAGCTACTCTCAGATAACTGACTAGGTTTATACGACATGTTTTTTTCCACAATTATATCCCCAGCATGGTGCCCCCCAACAACCTACTGGTTGGATTAAGGAATATATGAAGAAATGCCTTAATGGGACATAAATTATAATCACCACCTGAGGTGTGTTAAGTTCAGTGGTTGAAGGTTAAGCAGATGTGCGTGTGAATCTTGCTCCAGCACATATTAGCTCTTTGACCTTAGGCAACTTACATAACCCCAGTCTCAAATTCTTGGTCTAAAAATTAGCTACCATGAGAGCAAGGAGTGGTGAGGTGAAATATATGAAATAAAATGTACAAAGCTCACAGCACCCCGTGTGACACACATGGTCACCAGGCAGTGATCATTCAGCAATATCCCCTAGACATTTCTGTCCCATCTGTTCCCAGTCCTTTGCACATGCAGAAAGACCAGGGTGCTTTCAGGAAAGAGATTTCTTAATTAACCTTTCTTGGTAGTGTGTTTTTTTCCTGACATCTGACGTAAATCTGTTCTATCACAATATGCCTATTTCTCTTTGTGTCAACTACCTTGGGAGGGAAAACAGTCACAGGAGGAGGATTTTGACCCAAAAGCTCAACATTGCAAATGGAGGAGGGGGCTTCTTCATAGAGTTTGTATTTTTAACATTATTTTCACACGTTATTTTAAGTTGCTTGAAAACAGCATTCTTCCTACTAGAATGAAACAGAATAGTAATGGCTGGAGGAATAGGACTCTGCCCATGGTTATGCCTGGTATACACATTGAACTTGGACCCTCTTTAGTTATCATGGAGTAATTTTATTTCATTTTCTTTTGGTTGATGTAAACAACTTACCCAGAAAAATCTGTCTCAGGTGGCAGCTTGCCAGCAATGTCCAGAGTAGGATTCCTTTGGTTCTTGGTTCAGAAACAGGAAGTTTTTCTTTCTTGCCTGTTGAATTTTTGCCTCGCGTGTTTCATCTCTGTCAGCACTGGCCTATCTGCCCAGGGAGGATGGCACTAGAAACCAACTGGATTGATGCTCTAATGAGCCCGTTAACTTTGCTTCCTCTCTGTGGCAGGAGATCGCAGTAATCAGTGCCCCTCTGGGTTCACCTTAGACACAGCTGGACCGTTCTGTGCTGGTAAGTACGGGAGTGAATAAAGCTCTTCTATTTTTATAAAACTACCAGTAAGGGATATTGTTCAATGGACATGTGTTGCCCTTTTACTAGGAATTTAACCATCGCAAGAGTCTTATAAATGTCCCATTTGACAGTTGAGGAAATTGAGATGTAGAGAAGTTAAATAAACGGTCTAAAATCATGCAGCATCAGGTGGCAGAGGTAGATTTGAATTTAAGTTCCATTGCAAAGCCCAGGCTCTTTCAATTTGGCCAGAGCCTACTGTGTCAGAGGTAGTAACCCAGGACAGAGGTGAGGTGATCAGAGAGACAGCGCTGAACTCCATCCCGCAGCCTGGTTGCAATGGGTGTGACATAGTAATACATCCATACTAAGTCGCCTGACCCTGGAATTGCTCAGAGGATAGGGCAGGATTATAGACCTGGGACTAATTACTTGCAGGACTAGTGTAATAGAGTCATAGATAAGTACACAGCTAAGTAAATGGCTCAAGGAGCTCAAATTGGCACACACAGTGCTTTTCTGTCACCAATAGGCCACGCCATGCAGTTTAAATATAAAAAGGTGGTCTTCAGACTGCCCAGATGGTTTTGAGACTGA